GGGAAGTTGGGTGTGTGTATATATATATATATATATATATATATATATATACATATTGTGCTAGTTAATCTGATTAACTGAACGAGTTCCACCTGTGCCAAATTGGTTGATTATCTGATCGTGCTTCTCCCGAAACTTGTTAATAAAGCATTTCTGTAGAGCTGCCTCTGACGTTGTTTCATCATTTATGAACTTAACATCTACACTGTTATTGAACAGAATTGAATCAACATGGAACTGACTTTTGTAGAGATGGTTTACAGCTGAAATTAAAGTTTCATATTTAATGAATTTTTCAACATTAACATGGTTATTTTCCTGTTTATTACTGAGAAGCTAAGATTGGAGCAATCTGCATTGCATAAAGCGCTGAATAAATACACGTGAATTGACTTGTGGAAATGGAGTTAATGCATCACGTCACAAAAGCGCATCTCGAGACCCTCGCATTCTGCGCTGCGCTTTTTTAAAACCATTCCTGACCGCTGCATCTCGCAACTTTAGATGCAAAACAAGTCTGTAAAAATGTGGCACAATGTACAGTTTTTGTATGAAGAAATTTTCTGTATGGATTTTTCACAGGTGTTTTAGCTGTATTTTAAATTACACATTGTATTTTGTGTTTTAGGGTTACAGGAAATGCCTGTAAAGTTACCTGATATTGTCCTGGCAAACAATTACCAGCATCTTTTCTGTTTTAAACATTTTTTTCTTTGTACCTAACTGATCAACAGTTATGCACCTTTATTTGTATAGCGCTTTTTACAATACTGGTTGTGTCAAAGCAGCTTTACTGTGTCAAACAGGAAATGTCAATAATGCAAGAAGACAATAGCAGAGTCATTTTTCCAGCTAAAGTCAGTTCATTGATGATTCAGTGATATCATAATCCAGATCAGCTCTCTTCCAATAGTGTCTGTGCAATCAGTAAAGCGTCCCCAACTAAGCAAGCCAAAGGCGACAGTGGCAAGGAACCAAAACTTCATTGGTGACAGAAATTGAGAAAAAACTTTGGGAGAAATCAGGCTCAGTCAGGGGGCCAGTTGTCCTCTGG